ACAAAGAGTGACTAAATTCATTACTTCGGATAATATGAAGGTCAATAAAATAAGGATTATTTTGGAGCGTTAGTCGATATCTACTGAAGATGAATTTCAATTTGAAATTTGCCCACAGTGATGGTGAATATGTCATTAATGAAGAGTGCACTTTGGGACTGGCGAATCGGTGCATTTCCAGCGCTCTCCATAGTTCCACCTCCTTCCCATCATCGCAGAGGAAAAACCACAGCCACCTTTGGTCCGCTAAACAGTTTTAAACCAAGGTTGACGAAGAATTTTGTCGTTAGGGAAGCAGTTCTCCCGAAGGGCAAGACGTTTCAATTTCAAAAATTGAGTAACGGCCAAAGTTATTACTCTTTGAACAGATAATCTGTGAAAAATGTATTTCAGAGTTCCGTTTAACCTTAGTAAGCTAGGCAAAATTCTCGTCCTTCTGCATATTATGCTCTGCGTATAAATAGAGGTGCAGTGGAAGAGGTGGAGAAGTTCACCTATCAGAGCCGTGTTTTTATGCGACGGAAAATTGGAAGAAGATCGTGACAGGCGAATTGGAATAGTCAACGGTCTCCTGAGTGAACTGAACCGACCACGCGTTAAGGCAGGGCTGAGTCTGAGTCCATTTTCACTCCCATTCATCCACGGTAATGAGTCGTGGGCCATAACTGGAAACTGTGATCGCTGGAACAAGTGTCTAAAATAAGCTTCCTGGAGTGAACCATTGGGCTGATGCTTCTTGACATGGTCCAGAGTATAGATATTTGAGAGAGCCTTGGTATACAGCCACTGCTTCTCTTGCTTGAGGAAACAGCTATTGAGGTTTCTGCACGTGTTGCGATTGCTTTCACAACTGTATTAGTCTCGGAGAGACTTGTATTAACTGCAGAGTTAAAAAAACATGCTGCCAACTATTACCATAATGTACACTGAAATAAAAATAAATTCATATTTACATGAATTTCTATATCCCAGATACTTCCATGGCATTTTCCGCAACAGTGAAGATTACCCTATATCAGTCAGAAATACAATTTCGAAAGGTCAAACACTATACATTCAGGTTATTCTCTCCTTAACCTCTTCTAGACTTTGATGACTAAGACAAACAATAACAACACTTGCATGATGCACCACCTGAGATAATTTCGTTTCATGGAACTAATGCTTCTCTGTCCATATCCATTGTGCCACTATGAGAGTGTCTTTAATAGAACGTTATTCGATGAGGATTGTGGAATAGCAAATACGTCAATATACTTATGAGGCGGTCATTCGAAAACCACAAGATCATTACTGGCCAGATTTTAAGACGCGGAAGCACCACCTATTAGACACATTAACAGGTAGCATTCTACAAGCCCCTTTCTGAGCACATTGACAACATGCCTAAGCTGTCATAATGATGATCTCTTGATTATGACAAACAAGAGCTCACTAATCCCAGTAATCACGTAGATTCCAGCATTCCAAAATTTACGGGGCCTCATCACATCCTCCATGTGAAACCTCATCCTCAATGTTATGCTTCAAATTTATGGGGTCTCATCACATCCTCAATCATCCTCAATCACGCCCTCATCACGTCCTATGGGTCATCTTACTTTCTACCTTTAGCATACTGATCGCAATCTTTCAGCCAATATCCTATGGTGAAGAACAGTGTCGGATAGGTTCTCTCTGCTGTTCAGCACTTATTTCGATATTGCGTGTGCATTGCGGCGCATTCCTTCGACCGTACTGCATACGGCAAGTCTAATCATCTCAAATTTATAGACAGTCATTCATATCTTGTCATTCTGCTCGAGGATAGAAAGGCATA